TTGCTCATAATTTGTTCATTCTGTATTTATATATTCTGATTTACTGTGTTATTAGAATGTACTAGATATTTGATCATTTTATATATTTTTATATTTGTCATACTTCACTGACATATATGCTGATCTCAATGTTAGCAATTATCCACTGTTTATTTAAATGTCGCTTACAAGATAGATTCCTACTGTTAGTTTTAGAAGTACATGTATGTAACTCTATTTATAAAGTCTAGTGATGCAAATGGACTGTATTTATTTTCACTTTAATGTTATTTTCCATTTTTCCATTTTTCCTTAATGTTTCATCATTTTTATTTCAGTATGTGTGTATATATATATATATATATATATATATATATATGTATACTGTTTTTTTTATACATAATTTTATATGTGTTGTTACATATGAAATACATTAATTTTTTGGCTCTATCAGCCCATTTTTTTTCTTCTGGTCCAATTTGCATTTTATTTAGGATGCTGGATATGTATAAAAGTATAGACTGTACATTAGGCAGGTTTGTATATGCAGACCGCACTAATATCAAGCACTCCCACTGGAGCTCTGCTCGTTATGCGGCTGTGTATATTACACATAAAGTTTATTTGCACTCCAGCTTGGTGGCGCATGCGCACACCGACCAGTCGCACGTCATTACGTATGACGGTGCGCACGGCACGGTCTGCGCATGCGCGATCAATGAAAGATGGCCATACCAGTGGATTTAAAAGAAGAAGAGGACCAGCAAGGATTTAGCAAGCTCCTGAGGAAGTCGACATCGACGAAACGCGTAGAGCATTCACAAGAGCCCTATATTTTCGGTATAGCAGTATTTCTCTACATGTACTCTATTTGCATTCCATCCTATATAGTATGCACTGTGCTGTTTTTTGTTTGTGGAGCAGTATTATCAGTACCCAGCACCCTTGCACTTTAGCACTTTGCACCTTTTACAGTGTAGTTACTTGTATGTTTATAGCTGCTACCCTTACCCTTGGCTCTTGGCCAATTTGGCTGTGTACTTATTTTTTATATTATTTTTTATATTATTTTATATACACTGTGCTTGTTGCACTATTGTGTACTATTGTTCTTTATATGCAATAAAGTGGACTTTTTATTTTCACCAATTGTTTTTAATTTATGGGAATCTCCTATTTTCAGTAATATATATTTATAGTGACAATATCATCGCTGTGATATGTTTTATTGTTTTGAAACACTAATATTTGTGTTCAGTGAAGTCTCCCAAGTAAAAGAGTAGCTGTTGTCTGAAGTAGTGTTCAGACATTGTGTTTATTGTCTGTATGCATGTATGTATGTCTATGTATGTCTGTATGTCTATCTGTACGTCTATGTATGTATGTTTATGTATGTCTGTATGTATGTATGTCTGTCTGTATATCTATGTCTGTCTATGTGTGTATGTATGTATATGTATGTCTGTATGCCTGTATGTATGTATGCATGTATGTCATTATGTGTATATGAATGTCAGTGTATATATGTCTGCATGTCATTATGAATGTGTGTATGTATGGATGTCAGTGTCTGTATGAATGTATGTATGCCAGTATGAATGTATGTCTGTATGTCATTAGGAATGTATGTCTGTGTATGTATGTGTGTATAGATATCAGTGTCTGTATGCCAGTATGAATGTATGTCTGTCTGTCTGTCTGTATGGCATTATGAAAGTAAAAGAGTAGCTCCCATGTACAGGTTTTAGGGTGTCATAGAAACTTACAGGGTTATATACAGTGCTAGCAAATTAAATTATCTGGACTTTTGGCCTGGGTTGTCAGGCAGGTCCCTCAAATTGCAATCAATAAAATTACATGATTATGTAAAAATATTACATAAATATGCACGTAGAATGTAAAAATATATGTATGTATATTTATATATTTGAAGTCTACTTGTATATTTATGAAATGATTTATGTAATTTTGTAAATGGATATAAATATATATATATATATATATATATATATATATATATATTAAGGCCTTTTGGCCTGTAATTGTGGGAGGGGCGTATGACACACCCCTTCCCTACTTAAGGGACATCCCTTACCTGGCTCCATACCTTTCGAGGTCAGCGCTGCATGAGGATTCACTTCCGGTCTTCGTCGAAGATAATGTCCCAGGGACTTCAAAATCGTAAGTCCGACGCCTGGATTATTCCCACGGCATTCCATTTTCAACGGATCCTCACTTTACGGCTCTCCGGCTTTACGGCAAGGTCGCAAATCAACGTGGTTTTCCCATTCGGTTAATACATTCATGCCATAATCCTTTCGGTATGTTTCTAATGTATTCCGTATGGTACTCATGTTTCCTAAGCACCATTTCGTGTCATTTCGTTTTACAATTAATTTTACCGTAAGCACTCATTCATGCTGCCTTCCGTTCGGTTTAATTCAATCGGTATACAATATCTTTCGTCTAGGTGGGTCAAGCTTTTGACGAATGACACTGTTCTTTCTCTTTCATTCTAATTAAGCTTTTGGCAGTCTTGCTCAGTTATGCACGCATTCGTTTCACATCTTGCATATGGCAAACTCTGGTTCTGTGTTATATTAGACCAATTTCGGTTCATCTACCTTTCTATGTACTGTTATAAATTTGTTTAAATCAGTATAATTTCATATACTTATTCATACCATACTAGGTTTCTATCTTGATTAACTTTTTCTCATGTATATTGGTTTAGTTTATAATTATTTTAAGTTACTTAATTATAGATATTTTAAGTATATTTCAGTAATCATTTAGCCTGCGATTATGGCTTATTTCTAAAAGTTTTATGGAGATCATGCTTTTATTCAACCATGTACATCATGATTACATGGCACTTACAATTTCAGACCATTTCTTTACATACTCAGACGACATACCACGAGTATACAAGAACACGGTCCTATATTTCACAAGACTTTCGGGTTGAATCACACACTTTGGTTCAACCATTCATACGTCACATTACAACAACTTTTTATGTTTCTGCATATTGTCACTTCACAAAATTTTCAACCTCATCCACATCATTTCATTTTATGCCAAATACACATATATATATTCTATACAGTATCATTCCACCCCTCCAACTCCATACTCAAACCCTAGCATTTCCCAGATCAGTTAGTGACATGCATATCATCTGGTCACCCTCTGTAGACACACAATACATGGCCAAGCCCCTGCTACCCAGTTCAGACTCAGCTTTATGCCTAGTATGGGCCAGTCATGTCACTATCATACTCATAGTCCTTTCACCTCCCGCACATACTGGTAGAAGCCCAAACCCCAACCTTTACAGACTACAAAGGTCTCACAGGATCCATTCTCACTCTATCACATTTTGTTTCTACCCATTTAGGTTTATCCAGGTTTTGTTATACCCGTATAAATCTCAAAACTTTATACATACTACCAGGTACGTAAGCCTGCTCACGTAGTTCACATACGTTTCATTTTCCATAGGCTATAGAGTACTGGCAAGTTAGTGGTATAGGACCAAATAGGTATCTCCCTTCTTGGCATTCTGCCTACCGTTTAGTGGTCCGCGAGGCCAACACCCCACCTCAAAGTTTCGGAGGCAAACGCCCATCGGGCCACACGTGAGGTAGCCGCCTCGCAATATTATAGAGAGGACCTCACCTGTCACTCCCTCACCCTGTTTTTCTTTTACTATCACCGAGAGGCCTATGATTCCTGCCACCACGACGGGTGGCCTCAATATCCCCTCGTGCCAACGCATAGACAGAGCCTCTCATAGCCAATTGGCAACTAGCAGGGCCTAACCTGTCACCAAACAAGATTAATTTTTCGCCTTTCCGGCCTAGTTAGCCTGCCAGTACCACCCCTGGGGTCCATACACTAATCAAATATTTTGTCATTTAATATGTCTCAAGAAGGGGTAGAGGATTTCTCCCTACCAGCGGGGTGGGGACTAGCCAGTCCAACCCCGGGAGATATACACAGCATGCTCTCATCCCTCATGGCATCCATGAGCAAGGTCAATTCCAGGCTGGAGAAACTCGAATCGGTCACCACAGCCTTTATCATGGCTAGGCCGGCCGCTGCGACCCCTCCAGCACTGGTCGAGTTGCAATCAGTTTCTCCAGCCACCACCTCTGATGATCAAGAGGTTAACCCTGCCCATATGATACCTGAGCACCTCAAAAGAGATATCCTGGAAGGTAAAGATATCAACTTGGCTTCATTGCTGATTGCCTCCCAGGATGTGGTGGAGCATAAGACTTACGCTTATGATGATATTTCTGTGGTGGTCAAATCTAGGGATGCCCGATTATACAGGAAACTGACTATCCCTGAATTTGTGTTGGCATTTGGCATTTATCGTGATATTATCTGTGCAGTATATCCTCACAGACGTAAGGAGTTTGATTTGTATATGCACAAGCTGGTGGACCTGGGAAACAAATATGGTGGGTCAGCTTTCTATGATTACCATAGATCCTTTTCAGCCAAGGTGTCAGGGTCTATCTCTCAGTACAGGACAAGGTTCAACTGGAGCAAGACTGATATGGTCATTTTCTGCAGACACTTTGCAGGTCTAAGAATGCCGGCTTGTGCATACTGCTACTCCATGGCACATACGGCTAACTTCTGTCCAACCACTACGAACGAACCTACCCCCTCGCAGGGCACTAGTTCCACTGGTTCTGCAGAAAAAACACCCAAAGACAAACTGGGACGGCCTATCAAGTTTCTGGGCAAGTCCCAGATATGTAATAATTTTAATGTCGGATCATGTAATTACAGTGGATGTCGGCTATTGCATATATGTTTAAAATGTTACAGGGAACATGACAAAACCATGTGTCCTAATAAAATGTATCCTAAACAATACTCAACGTCGATAAACATTTCTGTACTTACAACATTACTGTCACATCATCCATCTAGACATTTGGTAGAATTCATTATCTCGGGTCTCTCAGAAGGATTCCACACAGGTCTCATACACATGCCTTCCGGAATCCTGGAATGTCCTAATTTACAATCCGCACAGCAAAACCCTACAGCGGTTGACACACTCATAGCCAAGGAAGTGGCGCAGGGCTTCCTATTGGGGCCCTTCCAGTCCCCTCCTTTCACCACATGGCGGACAAACCCTATCGGTATTGTCACAGGGAAATCTTCCCACAAACAGAGACTTATCATCGATCTATCGGCACCACACACCTCTGCCACTCCTAGTCTGAACTCCCTCATACCCTCGGAGGAATTTTCACTGCAATATTCCATCATTGATCACGCCATTTCGGCTATCATGCAGGCAGGGGTCGGAGCATGGCTCAGTAAGACCGATATAACAAATACCTTCAAGTTACTATCTATCCACCCTACACTGTGGCACCTACACGGCATTAAGTTGGCCGGGAACTACTACTTTTTCTCACGATTAACTTTTGGTTCCAAAAGTAGTCCAGCCATCTTCGACGTATTCGCCGAAACCCTATGCTGGTTATTATTAAATATAGCCAGATGCCCTACAGTGATACATTATCTGGATGATTTCTTACTGGTCGAGGAGAATATTTCCCCTCCCAGTAGCCTCAAAAAAACCATCAGTCTATTCAAACAGATGGGTGTCCCAGTCTCCCCCACCAAGACTGAAGGACCAGATACCTTCATCACATGCCTGGGTATCATACTAGACTCAGCCACCATGCAAGCGAGCCAGCCACACACCAAGGTAGAAAACATTCTTACAAGCAACCGCAAAGAGCTACAGTCTCTTCTTGGGTCACTACATTTTGCTATGCGCATCATACCTCAAGGCCGTGCTTTCATCTCACGACTCCTTTACATGTTCCCACTCTTTAGACATGATGCACACAGGTTATCCCTGGATACCGCAGCCACGGCAGACCTACTCATGTGGAGAAACTTTTTAACCACCTGGAATGGTAAAAGTATGTTCCTCCCTAAATTGTCTGTCTCCTCACCTACCATCTGGTCAGACGCGGCGTCTACCACAGGTTTTGTAGCAATTTATGGGAACGAATGGCTTTGGGGTAGCTGGCCTTCAGAGGTTAAGGACCTGGAGGTTTTTTTCCACTACCTCAGCTCTGTTTGAGATATATCCCAGAGTGGCGGCTGCCGTGGCATTGGGGTATTTATGGGCACGTTCACCAGTACGTTGCTACTCAGACAATCAAGCAACTTGCCACATTAACAAAGGCCGATCCAAATCACTGACTATTATGAGATTCCTGAGGAAACTCACTTGGTTGGCTGCATGTCATAATTTCTTCTTGTTTTGTGTTCATGTTCCAGGTGTATGTAACACGGCTGCTGACAATTTGTCTCGTTTTAATTTCCAGGCTTTTTGTCACATACTCCCGTCAGCCGCACTCACAGCCACGACCACTCCACTATTCCACCATCTAGTCATGGACTAGATGCTATCATGCAACATAGCAGAACATTGGCCCAATTAGCACTGTCTACTAATACCCGGAAAACTTACGACAGAGCTTTCATTTTATTTAAAAGATTCCTTTCGGAACATAACATCTTACAACCTTTCATCATGACATCCTTGTTGGGCTTTGCTTCTTTTTGCCACCTCAAACTCATTATCATATAACACAATCAAACTATATCTGACAGGCATCCAACATCACATGCTAACCTTACAACCCAACAATTCGAGTTTCATGTCCGCCTACCAAATTAAGAACATCCTTAGGGGTATTCAGAGATCCGAACCTCCACGTACGGCGCAGAGACTACCTATAGATTTCCATATTTTTAAAGACTTATCCAACTTACTAGATTTAAAACCTTTTGCCAACAGCACAAATCTTGTCATTAAAACCGCCATATACGTAGCTTTTTATGGTTTCTTGAGACCAAGAGAATTTACCGCCATCAGCACAACACAGTCCACTCACATCCTACTTCATTCACACTTAACAAAACACATGGACATTTATATCTTGACTCTGTCTCATTCCAAAACCAGTCAACATGCACCTCCAGTAGAGGTTAAGTACTATCCTTCTCACAACAGGTGGTGCCCCGTCAAAATACTGGATTCCTATACCCAGCATAACAACGCCTCACCATATCAACCACTTTACAGTCTACAAGGTTCTGAACTCACTACCATCACCTTTATGACACACGTCAGGTCCTTACTTACTCGGCTGGGCCTCAAATCAGCTAACTATTCGGGCCATTCCTTCCACATAGAAGCGGCCTCCACAGCATCCAGTTCAAACATCCCAGTTCATGTTATCATAGTTACTGGGGCGCTGGAAATCATCAGCTTACTCTAGATACATACCTAACCCGGAACAAGAAGTAAGAAATGCTTTTCAAAACATGTCTGGTTAAATGTACGTATATTGCTGGTATGTAATAAATTAGATTTTCTATTTTTGCCCTCTTTATTTACAGGTCTACCTCATCGTCGGTTCCGGCACACCACAACCGACTTGCTCTTTTAATACCATCCTACACTTATCAGTGTTTGTTTCTTCTGTACCATCATGAGCCCTTACCACAAATATTAAGGCCTTTTGGCCTGTAATTGTGGCAGGGGCGTATGACACACCCCTTCCCTATAAGGGACACCCCTTACCTGGCTCCATACCGTTCGAGGTCAGCGCTGCATCACCCTCCCACCACTCCTCATTATTAACTCCTTTTTCTTTACATTTCTTCTTGGTGGGCCCTCTTTATTTACAGGCCTACCTCATCGATGGTTCCGGCACACCAAAACCGACTTGCTCTTTTAATACCATCCTACACTTATCAGTGTTTGTTTCTTCTGTACTATCATGAGCCCTTACCACAAATATATATTTAGTATTATTTTGATTTATTTATATATATGCAATTTCATTCTAAGTGTATTTTTAATATCAAAATATAGTTAGAATAATATTTCATATATATAATTTCTTTTTATTTTTTTCATTTATTTTAATTTACTTATTATTTGTATTTTATATTAATATATATACAATATAGTTATTTTATATATATATATATATATATATATATATATATATATATACACACACATACATATTTCTGCACTCCTGTAGAGAAGTATTACTTACTTGTGCCCGGTGCTTGTCCAACAAAATCTAAAAATATAAAAATGATAGCACTCAAAGGACTGTAAAAAAATAAAACTTAACTTTTATTCAAGTTGTTGGCTGGTTACAAATGTTGACGTTTCAGTTCAGAAATCTGAACTTTCTTCAGGACAGTGATACAAACGTTTAATGTGCATATAAATAAGGTTATACTGATGATTAAACAGCATCCACATGGGTACTCACCCCTTGAACTCTTGCAAGCTGCTTGTAGCGGAGGCCTGGTATTCCACAGGTTAACTCCACTAAAGATCCCAGTGAGGCTCAGGAACAAGTTATGAAACTACCATAAAGTAATAATTCAAGCAAGCAAGGTAATCTACGAATATCCCCATAAGGATCCCAATGACTGGACGACACACAGCATCAGGAGCAGAACTCACTTTTAATCCACACAACCTCCTTATAAAGCATTCTCCCATGCAAGGGAGGGATTCAAATTAATCAGTACAGTATCCAATAGTGTAACAGTTACCTCCCACACATCTACCCTCAGTGTGACACTTAATCCCATTACACATGCTGTAGTTTTCCCTGAGTTCTGGATGTACCCTAAAAACAGCAGTTACAATAATACTCTGATCTGGGTGACTAACATATCCAAAATTCACCCAGATCGGACCAGGGGTTCGGGAGTTAGGTGGAGGGTGTAATTTGACCGACCGCACACGAGGTGGTATCCGAAAAGGGTTCCATGTGTTTTGGCCATAGGCATGCGCACGGGTGTGCCAGGTGTGCCTGGGCATACCCTAATCCCCGCGGCACGCCTATGTATTGAGACCGGCAGGGGAGATCTCAGGATCTCCCCTATCGACTCATGCAGAGCCGGCGCTATCTGAGCGCCAGCTCTGCTCTCAGCCTCCCTCCCCACTGCAGCATGAAGGGAGGCAGGAGAGGACCCGGGGAGCTTAACCAGCAGCTCCACCGGGTTCCTCTCGCGAGGTCGGAACGTTGCCGCGGCCCCACAGGGGCTAGAGTTCACTCTCCACTGGACCACCAGGGAAAGCAGCAGCACGATCCCCCCTTCCTACATAAGGTAAGAAGGGAGGGGGGATATTAAGTAATGTACCCCCACAATCACAAGCCTGGAGTCATACCCTCATATGACTCCGGTGGTATGCGCCTCTGGACTATTCAAGGATGTCCAAATCCCCTTTTCGTTGTCCAATCGGTTGGTAATCTCCCTTTTGCCGGCTTCAATATAGATAAAAATGCCAGGTGCAAGGGAATGGTGTCCAATAAAATATGTGTTTATTGTTAAAAAATCAAATATAAAATTCCAAGATAAAAAAAAAAAAAAACTTCAATAAAATATAATAAATGTCCAGGTACAATTGTCCAATGGCTATATAGTCTTAAATGAATGTCCAAAACGTGTTTCGCCTTGTAACAAGGCTTCGTCAGTTGGTTGTGTTGGTCTATCTTCTTTCTTCCTGTTTTTTTTTTTTTTTTTTTAAACGCCGATTCCGGGTTAAGTCGGACGTGCGTGCCCGTGTCATCGGGTCACGTCGCGCTTCCGGGTTTTTGCTGCTATTTTTCAATGGAACGCAGGTATGCATTCCAACTGGATTCCGTGGAACGTCACGTGCGTTCCAATAGGTCACATGATCCGTCGATGGAACGCAGCGTTCGTTCCACTGTTCTTAATGCCGAAAATGATATGTCTTCTCGTGGAACGCGCCCTGCATTCCACTAATAGATAAAGTGAGAGTGAATAATGCCTCTATTGACATGTAAAAATCCATCATTCCAATATTTTGTTTTGTCACAGAATCTTCACTATAACAATACTAATATTCTTTTTACAATATATAGACAGGACATATATATACTCAGTCTATCTATTTCAAAACATACTTAATCCTAAAAAATATAAATTGATAACCCTTTCAATGGAATAGGTTTTAAAGTGCTAGTTGTTCTAAAGTGCAAATATTAAAATTACCATAAAATCTCCACATTTTTAAAACAAAAATTGGTTGTATATTTCTGGAAAATGGTAAAAATTATATATAACAATATTCCTCTTAGCACATAAAATGGCACAATTCAAAATCATTATTCAATCCGTGTGGTAACATT